CCCCCCACACACACACACACTCACAGACAAAAACACACATACATAATATACACATATTATGTTTAAGTTCACATCCCCTCTGTCTGTCTGACTGTATTATCTTCACATACCTGAGATGCAGTGCTTTATATGCCGTGTGATATGGAATGCCGATGGAAGCTCCTTGGGCGTAGCTCAGTCGATCAGATAAGTGTGACATATACTGAGGGATAGCGATGGCGAATTCGGCGTATGAACCAGACAGGGTACCCGTAGTGTACACCCGATCTCCTGCCTGCTCAGAGGGAGAGATAGAAAAAGATAGAAAGAGATAGAGAGAATGAGAGAATGGTCAGAGTGTTGTTAGACCCTTGTTGGGCAATCTGGAAGAATACTCTACTCAGATTCGCCAAACACACAAACACGTGTGCTCGCGCACACACACTCTCACACACACACAAACACACACACACACACACACACACACACACACACACACACACGCACAACCATACACGAACGCAAATACACAAACCCCACACCCCACACAAACCACACCCACCGAAAAGATGTAGGAAAAGTAGAATCGTTCCGGACTCACCAACTCGCCCACAGAACAGCCTCTCATCAGCGCCCCGGGCGGTGTAAATAAGTGATGAGGTAAAGATCTTCCCATGCCCTGAAGGAGATTTGGATCGGCCCGTTGGGATCACTCAGCGCTGCCGTGTTATCCCAGTTTAACAACGCTTTAATCACCAAAATTGACTTGTGTCGTAGGGGAAAACGCTCGCCTTTCAATAATTTATGCGCGCTGATAGGCCCTTGCGAGGAAATGTCTGACGTCAGTGTTCTTTTCCCCGTAATGTTGCGTCATTGAGGGGAAAACGGAGGAAAGTTTTTTTGTGTTGTTTTTTTTAAATACATTTTTTCGTTGCTTCTTCTGTTTTTTTAGGAAGGGGGGGGGAGGGTAGTGGAGAGGTGAGGTGAGGGGTCTATGCTTCCATATCCCACTCACGCTGGAGACAAATGAGACTTGTCAAATTAATCATTGTTGAAGATATACTATAACGAGGAGTACTGATATCTGCTTTTGACTGTCTGTCTGTCTGTCTGATTGTCTATCTGTCTGTCTGTCTGTCTGTCTGTCTGTCTGTCTGTCTGTCTGTCTGTCTGTCTGTTCCATCGTTTTCAGCACCACTGGCATGTCATCAGTGAACATTGAAATCACCCTGTCACAAAAAAACAAGCTTACTTCTTACTGGAATCGAACCAAGGACTTCCAGATAACGAGGCCAGTCTTGGTTCGTGGTCATTGCATTGGAGTCAGCAGTGCAATACTTGAGCTACTAGAGTTTCACACGTACGGCATGGGTTCGATTCTCCCATAGATAAGTGTATGCTATTGTTCATGTTCACGCTGTGATGCTGTTGACTCGATCATATCGGGGATAGACGTCAAACTTGAAGATCCAGAGTGGTTGGAGTGCGCCACTGGTAGGTCCTGACTTCTTTACTTTCCCTCTGTTGTTTTGGTTTGTCTTACTTTTTCCCAAAACTAAGTGACAGTTATTGCGTAGATGTGCTTCTCTTTACTCGAAGAAACAAACAAACAAACAAACAAACAAACAAACAAACAAACAAACAAACAAGCCAACCAACCAACCAACCAACCAACCAGCCAACAACAAACAAACAAACGAACAAACAAACAAACAAACAAACAAACAAACAAACAAACAAACAAACAAACAAACAAACAAACAAACAAACAAACAAACAAACAAACAACAAACAAACAAACAAACAAACAAACAAACAAACAAACAAACAAACGAACAAACGAACAAACAACGGTCCAGCTTCAGAAGTACAGTGTCGAAAAAGTCGTAAAACGCATACCTCACCGACCTAACTCCGTTGCCCCCTGTTGTACTTAGTAACCCAATGACTCAGATCTCACGGAAACACGACTAGGTACCAACAGAAAGAAAGGTACAAGAAAGAGGGCAGGAGGGGGGGGGGTGAGGCTCAGTAGCTCAACCAGGTTTGATGTAAGCCGTCAACCCGTAGTTCAGGAGTTCGAGCCCCACCAGAGTCGTTTTTCCCCCTTATGTTGTCTACCCCCCCCTCCTCCTCACATTCCCCCAACCCCTGATCCAGCTTAGATAAGATCGAGCACCTAGTCTTTTCGGAAAAAGACGAGACATTTTGCAGGTCCCGTGCGGAAGTTCCTCACCAAAAAGTACCGGTTTAAAAAAACGACCTGAGTCAACCCTTCAGGCGTCATTCTGGCAAAATTCAAAATTAATTCCGACCTGAAACCGAAACCGTTGTAGTTAGTATAATAAGTACCTTCGAAGTACCTTTCGAGTACCCTCGAAAACAGAACATCACTGTCAGGCAGGGGATCATTTCAAGTTCTACGTAGATATACTTTTTAGTGTGCTTCTCTTTCTCTCGCATCCCTCTTTTTACCCTCCCTCT